CTTTTTATTGGCCATCTGATTTCTTCGTTCCGCTCGACCAGTAGTAAAGATGTGTCAAAACTGATTATGAGTTGCTATAACTACCAGGCCAATGGCGGCGAGTGGCCGTTTCCCGTTGTCACCCAATCCGAATAGCCGACAATGCGGATTCTCGATGGGAAGCAGCGAACTGTCGCTCATCCCCACGAAAGCTTAGTTAGCGCAATTCAGGCGCCTTAAAATCGCTGATTATGATTGTTATTTTGTAATAGCCACTAGGTGGTCCTTATAGAGTTTCTTACCCTAAATACGCATCCGAAAACCAAATTGCTAGATCACGTCCAGTTTTCGAAAAAAATAGGTTTTTGTAAAAACGGTCAAATTTCTCAAAGAAACAAGTGTTACGTGAAAACTAAAAACGATAGGCAGTTGAAATTTGTCGTAAAAAATAGAGGAGAGTTGCCTGAATATGTAACTACATATAAAAATGTTGAATATTGCGTATCATTAAATGCTTGTAAATGATGATCAAAGTTTAAAAAAGAATCGATGCGCGCACTTTATATGCACTTTTGTTATATTTCTATGGAAAGTGGGGTGGCTAGTACGGATTTACTAATACGTCCATTTTTTTATATAACTTGATTATTAAAAAAGGTATGAGTAATACAAAAAAATGCTTCTGATAAGAGTTGTAAGGTATAGCACGTTATAATTATGGCACAGGGAAGATATAATAACTTTTATTGATTTTTCCTTAACAAATTCTGTTAGTAAAAATACGAATACCCAAATAAATATAGAAAAAATGATAGCACGTCTGAAAAATATTCTTAAATATTCTTAATATTGTATAAATTTAAAATATACAAACATGAAAATGATATAATTGTACCTGTGTTTAATAATGTGTAGGACCTTCGTGGTTCTCCATTACTCCTATCATTCTTTTTGGTATGGATTTATACAATACTTTAATTGAAGATTGTGATAAATTTTTCCATTCCCCTTTAATACAGATTTTTAAATCATTTAAATTTTAAAATTGTCTATCTGCTGCGTAGACTGCTTTTGATAATAATCCCCAACAGTTCTCAATTATATTGAGGTCCCGGGAGCACACCGGCTATTCCAAAACAGAAATTTTCACCTTTGAAAAATATACGTGAATAATTTTTGCCGTTCGTATGGCAGCATTACCTTGCTGGAACACAAATTCTGTACCTGTAATGCATTCTGCATACTTATCAATTTGGTTTTTAATTAATCTCAAATAACGTGCACTATTCATTTTTCCTTGTATAAAATTAATATCCGTTTTCCCTTTGTAACATATACTGGCCCAAATCATTATTTCACCTCCTTTCATCTGTCATTTAATTTTTGTTGATCGTCCTTTTCGAATGTCATGATAATAGTATGCACTACTATCTGGACCATCCAGACAAAACCGTTTTTCATCTGTAAAAATTACATTTCTCCAGGTTTTCCTCCAGTGTATGTGTTTTTTCGCAAATTCAAGGCGTGCCTCCTTATGCTTCTTTGTTAATCGTGGTTTGGCTTTTATTTTTGATCGGTTTATAATATTACTCATTTGCAGCACACGTCGAACATTTTAAATGTTGGTATGTACACTAACTTTGTAAGCAATTTCTCTTGCAGTAACACAAGAATTTGATGCAGCACGAAGTATTGCTGTTGTGTTACGGTGTGATACGGCTGCTGGCTTTCCAGTGCTTATCCTTTTACTGCAGTAGTTATCCACATCTTTTAATACGTCATATACAGCTTTTCTGCTTCGATTAATTTTTTTCGAAATTTCTGTAATCGTTACTTTCTCTTTCTTAAAATAAGAATTGTGTTTATTTCACTGTCAGAGAAATTTTTACCACGACCCATCGCGAAATGCGACAGATACCAACATCAAGAAACACTGAACACTGACTAACTACTCCAACTTCCTTAAAGCTCGCGACATATTGAAGAAAATCAAAATAAACCTTGAGTGTCCTATAATTTTGTGTCTGTGTCTATTTATCTGTTTACATTCCTTCCAAGAGAATATCTTGTAGAAATTCCAATACCACATGTGTGCTATCTTTTTCTTTGGGAGTGTACATATGGAAAACATTTATTCAGAATGATGTCATTAACAACATATTTGAAGGCTATTCAAATCGATAGAGAATCGCAGATGTAAATAATTACCTTTAAATGTCTATCAATATTGAATTTCCAAAGAAATAAGTTTTGCTGCCACAATGTTTAATGTTTACGATCAAACCACTTTAAAAGGTTAAATGAGTCATTTTCATTAATGGAATCACTAGCTTTATACTTAGACATAAAACATTTTGTTCGTCGGTATAAATCCATGTTTTGGATAGTAAATTCCAAACATCCAAATATGTATATTTCCTTGCAACAACAATATTTTAAAATTTAAAAAGTCAGTTCTGCTACCAGCTCTCATCAATAACATTTCTGCTGAGATAAACTTGCAAGCCCTTTTGGTTCTTACTTAAAAATTTATTTTCTAAATAATTCCCAATAACAGTTTTTAAAATCTAATGCCTGCAGTAAATTGATTTTAAAAAATATCTAAGAAGAAGTGGTCAGTAATGATATGTGGTCAACAAAGTGAAATAAAAAAATTAGCAACAGATCATTTATTTAATAAAAAAGTAATGTCTCTTTAATTTTTTTACTGAAATTATACCTTTTTTCCCAAACGATACATTTTCACACCGTCTTTAAAAAAGTATTAGAGGTCGTAGGTCGAACATATATTAGCTTGGAAATTATAACTTTTGTCCTATTTTTTTACGAAATCAAGCACTATGACGGGCGATCGTTATTCACGAGGCACCATTGGAACGCCGCGCTACGGTCTGGATCGAGAAATTTATGTAGTGACATTTTGTTATAACTTTTAAACCATTAGACATATCGAAATGGAACTAGGATTGAAGTATAGTAAAAAATAATTACTTTTAATGGTATGTAATGCCACAACATTTTTGTTTGTTTGATAATATTTTTTATAACTTTTAATATTTATTCAGCATTGAAATATGTTAAAAATTACATATTATTCCAATTTTTAGAACTAAACATGTTATTTACATCAGGTAAATCAACTGCTTTAGTGGAAGAGATTTTTCATTCTGATATCAAAAAGAAAATTTAAATAACACTTGTTGTTGAAATGATAATGTTACATATAAAAAAATAGCAAGTAATTCCAAATATAAAAGATAAAACTTTTGATTTAATTTGCTACAGCAGTTTTTATTTATACCAAATAGAAATTTAATTCAACAATTTATATACTATATTAAAGTGCAGGCTCTTTTCTTTTAATGATACTGACAACAACAATGCATTCTACTAAATAAGTCTTAAAATAAAAACCCCCGTGTCGATACGAAGACTGCATGACGTGTCGCGAGCAATGTTGAATACAAATTACTCCCGCTGTTATAATTATGAATAGTAGCACTCAACTTTTATTCTATATTAAACGGTAGGCTATGTTTTTAGTAGTATAGCTACGGAGGTTCAAATTCACTTTGTATGTGGTTTTGAACCTCCGTAGCTTTTCATCGACAAAATTTGTGATAAGGAGGCATGGCATGCGCGGAGCGTGAGGGGTGGTGGGAGTCCGCGAAGTACCGGGTGTTTTGGAAGTGCAGGAGGTATACCGGATGTTGGAGAAGGACGGAGCGATGTACCGAGTGTCGGGGGGCGAGAGTCAATATTTAGAAAAGGTAAATAATTTAAAATGATAAAATCGCTGCGAATAAAATAATTAATTACGTCGTTGGTTTCGCGTTATCGCTTGCGTGCAACCGACTGACGCGCGCCACCCTGTTATCGCGGTCGGGCGCGCATCTCGCCGTTTCGCTCGCGATACACGCGTATTTTCATTGACGTAATTATAAAATATAAAATTTTTAGTCGGTCGCGTCGTTGGGTCGTCTTCGTCGAGACTCGCACGTCTACCCAATGGCATAGTCGGCAAAATTTTCGCCCGGGAATATTTGGCGTTAAAATATTTTTTAAATGAGATGCCGGATTCACGATTTTTTTATGATGCAACGGGATGATGCTTGCGCGATTCCTGTTGCGGCGAAGAGGAAGCGGTTTTTCCCGGAAAACGCGATCTAATTAGTTGCAATTTCGATAAGTCTTGCAGTATTAGTGCGTATGTAGATTCGTTGTCGCATTGAAGGTACAGAGGCTGTCCGAGCAGTTTACAGTTGGAGTGGTTATCATCAACGTAGCTTCGTTGCAATCTTTCGCAATTGAAAAATCATTTAAATTCGGCATTCAAAATTATTCCATGGTGAATCAACAAATCATACCGCATTTTTGTTCTCTTCTCCATCAACAGTCGAATCAATTAAAATTATATTGTGTATTTCGCGAATTGTCAATCGGTGTATAGACAATACTTTTTTCTGTGAATAGTCGGTTGCGTTTTTTCCAATATGAGTATAAAAATTATACAACAACTGCTATGTCTTTTGAAACGTGTGGCACCGTTCATACGAACCGTAAACGAATATCGCTATTGGCACAAGTGTTGTATCGAATGATTGAATCAATGTCGTGCATGTATGATTATTATGAAAAGAGACATGCACCCGGGTACGAAAGCTCATTTAATGTCACTCATGTGTCGTATGAAAAGTTTAAATGTACATTTGAATAAACGCGTCTCGCATACCGGCGGTAGTCTATATGATAAAAATCAAGGTGCCAGAGCATCGTCGCTCGTTTGGGAAGATCTTGAATTGGCATTTGGAAAACGCGCCATGATCGGTGTTGTTATAAACGTTGAACATATACAACCGCGACAATTTTTACACGACGCAAAACAACTTGTGAGCAGACATATCAGTGAACTTTTAAATAAATATTCGTTATTAAAAGTGAACGTTGTGTTTGAAGGTGATTTCGTGTTACGCGATCAAGCGTCGATAAAATGATTTCATACGCAAAATACTGCACTTTTCAAATCAACGAATCTGCGAAACTGGTACACGGACGATGTCATGAAGCCAATATTAACATCACTGGAGGAATTTCAAGAACGGGACAGTGGATGGGCATTGAAGAAGATATCAAGTTTGTTGATTAATTGTTAGAAGTACGAATCGATTCGAGCTGGTTGTTGATAAGACTGTTGTTAATATCAATTCTAAAGAGAACGATTGCTTCTATCGAGCGATCGTGGCATGTCTATACCCAGCGAAATCGCATTCGACGCGAATATCATCGTATCGCCACTACAAGGACGTTCTCCATCGAACTGTGAGATTTAAAGTACTTACATCGTTTAATGATATCTGTAAATTTGAAAAAGCTAATAAAATATCCCTAAATGTATTTGAATAGAAACGTAATAAGCTTGAGCTGATTCACATAACAGCGAATAAGCATCGAAAACATGCCAACTTGCTGTTCGTTCAAAATAGACAGAATCCATCGAGGAATCATTCCGCAGCCATAACAAATTTATCGAGATTGATTTCATCACAGTTGCCTAATAAAAACCGCCGAAAGTATATTTGCGATCGGTAAGTAGCATTATATTCTTTTTTCAACTTTTACTAAAAGTTGATGCATTTTTTTTCATTATATAGATGTCTACAATACTTTTTTACCGAGGAGAAGTTAAACATGATTGCTCTCGAATGAATCAGTGTGCTATAACACTTCCGACAAACGGGAGCAAGTGGTTGCGGTTTAAGAATTACACACACAAGGAGTGGGTGCCGTTCGTTATTTATGCTGACTTGGAAAGTCTGCTAGAGGAAAACGAAGGCCGTTCTCATGGAGCAAGGTTATATCAGAGTCATCGGCCGTTTACCGTAGATTATTATGTACACTGCAGATACGACGCTTCGTTATGCGGTTATCACTGTTATCGGGGTGATACGGGATCTATAGAATGGTTTGTGATTGAGTTATACTCATTATGCGATAGCCTAGAGCTGATATTTAGTACCGTGATACCAATGAATCCATTAACCGATGAACAGGTATTAGAGTTTCGATCAGCTACGCATTATCACATATGCGAAAAAACATTTGACTCGAATAACGTGAAGAATCGCGATCGATCGCGCGATCGTTGTCATTTAACGGGTAGGTATTGCGGTCCTGCGCATGCGAAATGTAATATTCACTATAGAGAATCGTACGTGGTACCAGTGGTTTTTCACAATTTGTCCGAATACGATGCACATTTTATCATTCGTGATTTGGTCAACTCGTTCGAAGGGAAAGTAGATTTATTGCCATTAACGAAATAAACATATATTTCCTTTACCAAACATACGGAGAGTTCTGGCAAGTACAAGCGATGCGTGAAGTTTAAATTTATAGATTCCTTCAAATTTCTAAATTCGAATATAGATAAATTAGCATCCTATTTGGACAAGGACAATTTGCATATCGTTAAAAATGAATTTGTACATTTTTCGGACAACAATTTAGAACTTATTACTTGGAAAGGTGTTTTCCCATACGACTACGTATCATATGATAAATTAGATAATACATGTTTACCATCACGTGAAGCCTTTGTAGCGAGGCAGTTTTATTTTCCATATAACTACGTACATTTTCTCACGTGCCGCCAAGGCCTATGCGAGTCTGGCGACGGTCAATTCATGCGTCTGGCAGCCAGATTCGCACGAGTCAGGATTTTTCCTGCCAGCCACGCGAGCACTTTCCTTGTCTAAGGACAGGAGGATATACTCTGAAAGACCGGCGGGACGGGACACAGTCTAACTCAACATCGGCAAGACGTTACGCTGCCCGAACGCGAGTCACGCCCTAGTTGCACTGCGTATTGCACTAACTTCCGTACGCACGGAATTAGGGTAGTTCCTTCCTTGACGCGATCAAAACGAGGTGTTATAGGGAACCCGCGAGTCCACTTTCATTCGAATATCGCTCTTCACCGATAACCGCTCAACGCAAAAAGGTATTCTGTTCGATACGTTATCTGTTGTTTTCTTTGCAATTGTTTAGCCATAGTCTAAACGTTTGGACCTCGCTGGCGGTGCAATGATAAGGTTATTGTCGTCGGAATTCCGCCGACGGCTTCCAACAGTGGTGTATCACCATGTCCAATGACATGGTTTATTAGCAATTCTGTATATAGGATTCTGAACTAATATCTCGTATTTAGGAGATCCGTATTCTTCTAAATTAACGCTCGAAATATTCATCTTTCGGAGGATGTCTCTTTCAGCACATCTTACTTTACACGCGGTTACAGGATGAGCATAATCGCGAGCAAAATTTTGTATCACACCAAATATATCATCCTGTCGATATTTTTCATAGCCAAAATCAGCAATTGGGATTCCATGTACGAAATTACTAACATACCATGCCGACTTTCTATCGGCATTCGATAATGAATTGTAATGCCTGTCTAAACGAAATTCCGCCAACTCGAACTCCCCATTGCAAACGTTAATTATGCCTAATTCTTTGCAAATAAATTTTTTCTCAGTCACGAAACCGTTCATATCTATAATGTGATCGGTATGTGCCATCTGAATAAAGAAATACAAATTCTTTGTATAAAAAATTTCTCCCCGTCAAAATAAATCAATTATATATATATATAATTTTATACATTTATAAAACAAATAAATATTAGTACCTCTTACCTTTAAATATCGGAGTTATTTTAGAGGAAAACACACACACACACACACACACAACTGCAAAACTTTTGCTGTTCTGTTTTAGAAGTAACTGTACGCTGCTCGGACAACCTTTGTACCCTTTATATGGTAAAATGATCGAAACCAGAACGCATTATTGAAATTAGAACGCATTATCGAAAATGCAAGTAATTAAACCGCGTTTTTCGTAGCTACATTGTTCTCCGAGAAAAAACCGCATTGTTTTCGCTGCAACAGGAATCGCGCAAACCGCATCACGTTGCATCGTAAAAAATATCGTGAATCCAGCGTCTGACCTAAAACGCGTCGTAACAGCCCTCGTCGAAATATCTTGACACCGCCGAAATTCGCCGAAAAATACGCGTATCTCCCAACCGCAACGGAAGCATAACAGGAATACACGAACCAGACCCAATTGCGTAACAAACTAATAATTATTTTATTATTTCATTCGCAATTGTCGTAACCATTTTATTCGCAAAATTATTCGTACCTAGCAGCGAGCACCCATATTTCGCGCCGGCAGCGATTTTAAAATTATTTTAAATTATTAACTTTTCTTTCTTACCTCTGCAACACCTGGTACATCACCGCACTCCCCCTGCCCCGAACACCTCGCACAAACCTGAATTTTGTCGACGAAAAGCTAATCTCCCTAGCCCCTACTACTGAGTGCAATATAAATCACATAAGGTATCAATGAACATACTCGTTTATCTTTTGAAAAACCTTACGAAACAATCAATATTAAGAATTTACCTACCATAAGCTTAGTAATAAATCTCATCTGTGCTATAATTATTAGAAATTGATTAATGATTTTCCTTCGAATCGTAAGACTAAAGAATTGTCGATATATTTAAAGAATAGTTGTTTGTTCATGCTTTGAATTGCTATTGTTAATGAAAGATCTATTAATATATCCTTTGCTGTTAATTATTGAATGTAAAAGGTTACTGACTAATCGCCGGTTAATATGTTAATTACACTGTGGAATAAGTTTTAACCTATTTTGCTTTTTACAGTAACCACTAGGTAATTCTTATAGAGTTCCTTACGCTGAATACGAATCCGAAAACTAAATTGCTGGGTCACGTCCAGTTTTCGAAAAAACTGGGTTTTTGTAAAAACGGTCGAATTTTTCAGAGAACCAAGTCTTACGTGAAAACTAAAAACGATAGGCAGTTAAAATTTGTTGCAGAAAATAGAGGAGACTTGCCGCAAATTCCTGCTAGCCAACCCACTTTTCGTAGAAATGTAACAAAAGTGCATACAAAGTAAGCGCATCTACCCTTTTTTAAACTTTGATTATCATTTACAAACATTTAATGACATGCAAAATTCAAAATTTTTATAGCTACATATTCGGGCAAGTCTCCTCTATTTTCTACGGCAAATTTTAAATTTCTCTGAAAAATTCGACCGTTTTTACAAAAACCCAGTTTTTTCGAAAACAGCAATTTGGTTTTCGGATTCGTATTTAGGGTAAGGAACTCTATAAGAATCACCTAGTGATTATTGCAAGACACAAAAACAGTTCAGATTTGTTCCACAGTGTAATATTTCAGAGGAAGACGGTAAAGATCCGCAGTAAGAAACTAAGAACTTCTTGATGAGTCGACGTAATAACGCTAAAACTACCGAGCAGTTAAATTGACTTGCCGAAATTCCTTTATAGAAATTCCAATAGTGCATCCATTGAGACTTTAATTGATTTACAATTCAGTTTTCGTATTGATAAATTAATTTCTTCAACCATTTTTCAGATAAACATCTGTTATCTTTTTAATAATTGCAAAAGGAAGACATTAGGATGGGTCACTTTGACCCGTCTGGTAGTTTAGTATTAAAGACAAATTCAGAAATTTTCAAAAAAATAGTGGAGTCTTCGATACACGGCTATCAGTAATTCCTCGAAATCGAATATTTCACCGAGCTGACAATCGCACTATGGAATATATGCCTCCCAATCGCGGTAAAATGTTCGCTTTCATAAGTATCCTCAAAACCTCAGACAAAAGTATACACATGCTTAAACAATCATTTGAACCATAATGTAGTATATTCTTTTTCGTAATTATTAATTAAAAGTTTCCAAATAAAATTAAGTGTACTATATAATCATTAATATCTGCTGTTCCATCCTAACCCACTAAGCACCCTGTATATTCATAATAATTATTATTACTATTATTATTATTGTTGAGGCGTTCATATAAACCGCGGCAACAAGCGGGCGATGAATAAACAAACATCATCTGAGACACGTTCGCTCCCGCGTATTCTTCGATTGTTTTCTTTATACTTCGCTCGCATCCGTGGCTTTCCCTTGCGTCAGTTTATAAGTCTGTGTATCGTCACATGGTCGACTTAACATTAATAATAATGTTAATCGAAGTTCATCTCCTCATCAATCTTATCAGGTTTTAGTCCCAGATATGGCTATAACACCAAACTGAATTCTAGTGGTTGTCTTAACATGTGTTTACGTAATCTACCTATTGAATTTTTCCATTAAGACGGACAACTATGTCTTCAATGGTGAGTGGCGTTCGTATGAAACCACTGACGAATGAGAATTATGACTCCTGGAGGATTCACGCAGAAGCCCTATTAATTAAAGGTAAGCTATGGGAATATGTTATCGGAGATATACCAATACCGTCTGAAAATGAGATAGAGGCACGGGAAAAATGGATAAAGTCGAGTTGCAACAGATTCGAAGCTGCAATACCTCATGTGTAATTTGGAAGAAATTCGAGTCAGTGTATGCTTCCGAAGGACTAGCGAGAAAAGCCATATTTCTTAAGCAGTTGGCGTTGTCTCGCATGTGGGAAGGGGGTGATATTCGAGAATGATTAAATAAGTTTTTTGATGCAATAGATAAGTTGGCTGCCATGGATATAATTATACATGCGGATATGGCTGCTATTCTTTTGTTATATAGTCTACCAAGTAGCTATGAAAACTTTAGGTGTGCAATAGAGTCTTGTGATGAGTTACCTAGCCCTGATATACTTAAAGTAAAAATCCTTGAAGAAAGCGAAGCCAGATACAAGTCTAATGTTATTGACTCTCCTGGAGCATTTGCAGTGGATAATAGACACAAGCAAAAATATATGCACAACCAAAGTAATAATTGGAAATATAAAAACCAGTCTGAAAATAGTACAAGGACTGAAAGACAGGGAAACATATGAGTAAAATGTTGTAAGTGTGGAAAATTAGGGCATAAATCTCCACAATGTAAATCAAAACAAACATTTAATAATTCACTTTCATCGCACAATGTTAATGATGATACATTTTGTGTAGCATATTCAGCTGTTGATATTGCAGGTCATTCCTTGATTAAACATGTGAATGGGAATCACAACTGGATTTTGGATAGTGGATATACATCACACTTATGTGGAGATAAGGATAATTTCAAATCCATAAACATGTCAAATAGTGGAAAAATTAATCTCTCCTGTCACATATCTAGCGATCTGAAAGGAAAAGGGACTGTATAATTATGAAGAAAGACAATTAAACTGGAGAATACCTATTACATACGAGACCTTTGGTCAAATTTAGTCTCTGTAACAAAGATCACGAATATAGGACATTCAGTGATATTCACAAAGTAATCTGCAATAGTGAAAAACCGAAGTGACAGAGTAATTTTGAAAGCAGAACGTATAGGTGATTTATATTATATTAAAGAAAATGTAAACTCTGTTAATGTTGTAGAATCAGGTTTAATAGCAAAGTTATGGCACAAATGCTTGGGGCATTTAAATTCCAAGGATTTGATGCAATTAACAAAGTGTTCAACAGGGTTGAATATAAGTAATACTGAAGAAATATCAGCATGTGATATTTGCATACATGGGAAAATGACTGCTGTCCCATTTCCTAAAGGTGGAAGAATCTCGAATGAATTTTTAAGTATTGTACAGACAGATATAGTTGGTCCTATGAGAACTCAAGGAGTAAATGGTGCAAAGTGGTTTGTTACCTTCATTGATGATAGTTCAAGATGGTGTGAAGTTTATTTTCTAAAGACAAAGGCTGGTGTCCTAGAGGCTTTTAAAGCATACGAGAGTAGAGTTAAAAACTATCTAGGGAGAAAAATTAAATGTGTGCAATCTGATAACGGCCGTGAATACTGCAATCATGAATTTGATAAGTTACTTAGAAATGCTGGAATTGAACGCAGATTAACTGTGGCTCGGACTCCTCAGCAAAGCGGTGTTGCTGAACGTATGAATAGGACGCTAGTAGATATGACTCGTTGCTTGCTGATACAATCAGGAATGCAATCAATGTTTTGGACAGATGCAATTTCGACTGCATGCTATATTCGTAACAGATGTCTGTCAAGTAGTATAAATGGTAAAACGCCATACGAAAAATGGCAAAAGTCAATTCCAAATCTGTCTCATCTCAGAACATTTGGGGTCCCAGTGTATGTACTCAACATGGATCCGACAAAGGATAAGTTCGCTGAGAGTACATTAAAAGTAATATTTGTAGGATATTTGTAAGTAACTACAGGATATAGAATTTAGTTACCAAATGAGAGAAAGTATATAATTGCACGAGATGTGAGATTCTAAGAGACGTGTCAATAGAACATAAAGTACAACAAAAACGTTAAAGTCATTGGAAACGGCATACCGGACGAGACTGTCGATGAAAATTTAATTTTTATTGACATTAACACAGAGAGGTCGAAATCTCCAATCTCGTCTCCAACTCTAGTTACAAGAGATACCCCAAGGCCGTTTATTGAATCCATAGAAAGCGAAGCGAACAACTTTCGCAGGGGGCGTGGACGTCCCAGACTAATACGCACGGGTAACCGTGATAGACCAATGAAATTATTTTAGCAAGTTCCTGTATTTGAAAAAGAACGTGAAGTCGATATGCAAAATGAACAAGTACAAAATGTAGAATATGAGAGATTTTCTGGCGTTGCTGAACTTTCATTGGATGAAGCTATGTCGTCGTAGAAACAAGAAGACTGGAAGTATGCAATCCTTTCAGAAGTGGAAAGTCTTACCAAGAATGATACTCTAAAAATCGTTAACAGGTCAGTAGCACAAAATGTTATAGTCGTATAGTAAGCACTGTCATCAACCGAGGCGGAATATGTTAGCCTATCTGAGACAGTAAAAGAAGTTATACATTTAAGGAGTCTCCTTGGTGAATTAGGATTTAGGAAACTCGCTGAGACTACGTTAAATATTGATAACAATGAAATAAAATGTTTAGCTAGTGATCCTGTGTATCACTCTCGAACGAAGCACATAGACATTCGACACCACTTTGTTCGAGATGCAATTGGAAAGGGATTAGTTACCCTTGAACCTTTTGACTGCGGCGCGATCTCGGAGTAATCCATCAATACGGACGGCGCGTTATTCGCATGTCAGTCGCTGCGACTGGTCGTCCACTGACTAGTGTCCAATGACCAAAGCAGTACCCAGAGATTTGGTACCATTCTTAGGATTTAAAAAATAATAATTGCAACTAAATGAAAAATATCCATTTTTTATTTGTTTTTAGTAGCTGTTTAAGCTATTTTAATTTACTTAACTCAATCTGCATATTCTTTCAATAATAATGGGTAATTAAATATAAAGGTAAAAATTCGAAATTGATAATGAGGAACAAATTTATTTTAATACAACAACAACAAACAATTTTAACATAATGAACGAATAAAGATAATAAAAGGATAATTGGAAAAATTTAGTAATCAATTCGCGTGTGATATATCCTAAAGCATGGATCAATGCATAAACCTACATCGCATTCTTCGCATTCGTATCTACTTTCTCGACGAATTTTATGTTTATTACACAGTATACACTTTCGCGTTTGATTTTTTTTTCGAAGACGGATTAAAATATGTGTTTGGAAAATGCCTTTCAATGAGACGTATTAGACCGTCAGTATTCCTTTTGCCTTGATATGTATTGGTAGTTCGTCGATATTTTCCAAATGTTTCTTTTATCAGTTGTAAATGAAATGTCACGAAATGTAACTTTTTACCTAATACGTATTTATACAAAACATACGA